TAATTGAACTTTTGACGCATTTGACAAAACCGATAGAGACTGGGAAAGACACTGCCTTTTTTTCCCAACGTTGACTCGAGTTTTGTGAAAGCTGTTTGGAGATCTGAAGCCCCTTGTAAATTGTGGGTCTGGAAATATCGTTGTCCCAACTCTCCGAGATTCGTCCGGAGGAGTCTCAACTTAGATGGGACGTCTAGTACAATTGTGGGTGACAAAATCGGGAGTAGTTTAATATAATCCTCAAATGTCTTCCTCCATTGCAACAACGAGTCATTTGAGGGTTTCTGGGTGTTCCTTGGTCAGAAAGGTAACGGTGTAGGCAGCAATGAAGACATGTTCGTTAGGCTGCGTCGCCAATGTTATGTATGCAGATCAAAAGATTAGTTGGAGATAGAACGGGTACTGAGTATGAGAGACAGCACACGTCGTCGGTGCTTAGAAGGGGCTACCCGAGGACGTAATAATGGCGGATTCCACGGAGACATTCAAGCAAAGACTAGATGTATGTTTGCTTTGAAAATACTGCTTGTCTGGACAGAACAGCTCTGTTGTGCAAAACCAACACCTTACATACACCTACTGCTAATGCGGATGATTGTCATTTCAGTTTACCGATGAATTTTCTCGAGTCTAGGTCGTGCATTTTCAAGGAAAAATATTCGGTTGTGTATATATTACTGACAACATTTTAGTACCATATTTATTTAAAGGTAGATATCGCATGTACCGCTTTCAATAGGGTCTACAAAGGCATTGCTTATTACCCTTAAAATATACTGACCTAAGTGAGGAGGCTTGTGGAAACGACCGAGTATATGGCAGGGGGAATGTCATAGGCTGATGGGTGGCCAATTAGCACCAAAAAGGTGTGAACAGGGATACATGACCTTGATCGTTCGCTTGCCACGCGTTTGTGGCTTGATGTCCTGACAGCCGGACAGCATACGCCGCAATAGGTAATTAAGAACCCGTTATTTTGGCGCACGAACCAAAGCGATAAGCAATACAGTTGCAAAGTAATTTGGAATAGCCGGGTGGGGAAGATAAGTACAGAAGACTTCACAGTCCCACGAGCGGGAGAATTATTCTTGACATTCGGCAGGGGACCATTCTGATCGACGCCACAGTTCATTGACAGATCCACCAGAAGACGTGAGGCGACCTAGCAGGGAATCGGCTGCGGTGAATAGCTTTCAAAGTCCTCTTCCACCTCCGGCGCACCAGTTGGGGCTCACGGAGAACCTTATCCAATGGTAGGAAATACGCCAATGCCCTTACAGATTATGACTTTTGTCAGGTAGCTGATTTGCCAGACACGTACCTAGCCCCGACTGAGGATTTTGACGCTACACGGCAGATCGGAGAGCCGCCTACCCCACAGCCAGACTCCGCTAAAGGTCGCTCCAATATCAAAGCACCGCAAGCTCTCGATATTTAGGCTGACATGATAGGCCCTGTCTTCTTGGAGTTCATGTCCTCTCAGGAGAGTGTATGGAGAGCATAAGACTCCCACGTTTCAGTAGGTTTCGTTTCCTTCCCAACGCGCCCAGAACATTCTCGTCTCTGACTTAATCGCCCTCATTTCTCAATACTTCATGATGGTTAAGTGCTCACCAACTGCCCATTGTGGCGTTTGTCGTCTAACCGGGAGCGTTTACCGTCCCCAACCGGGCGCATTCACATCTCTGGTCCGAACTCGAGGTCTAGTCAGCCTGGGTTCAAACGTTCAGATCTGTGGGCAGAAGTCGAGTTAGAAGTGAAGATCGTGGACCTTACTTGGTTGGATGAAACGAAGACAGGAACCAGTTCCGCCTTTTGAGGTTGATCTGGAGCCCCCGAATAGTAACTAGCAGTAAGCAAATAAAAGCTTTATTCACAGGGACAGATAGGAGATCAGGGTTTCGTCCAGCAAATAAAGCCCAACTGGCGACCTCTATCTCAATTTTACTGCGAACCACACTTCGAAAGCAGACAATTCAAGCCCCATGATATTACGCAGCTCAGAGTACGAACGCCTTTTTTACGCACACATGGTCCCGCTGGTGATCTGTGGTGTGTATCTGTCGCCCCCGCAACAACGGGCTACGCTGCATACGAGTGTTTGATTGGTTCATGGCACGATTAAATTAGGTTGCACACAGTCCGCGTGATTCCGTAAGCATCGCCGTATATGCGCGTGGGGCCTTCACGCCGCACCAGCCACTGCGACCAACCCAAGCACTCATTGGTTAACAGGGCCGGACCGCCAGCTGGCGCATGAAAGAGCGAGTGAGGTCGACACCGGAGAACCCATCCTCACGTCCAACAAGCGCACTCACACGTATAATAAACCAGGTGCGCTCAAATCACGAATGAAGGTGAAAATTCGAGTTCCAGGTGTATGCATAAGTGAAGAAGAAGAAGAGTCGAAAATCCGAAAACTTTGTTTATTGTCCTGAGCTTTCAGACTCGTACAGGAGTCCATCGTCAGAAGTAGTAGCAGCATCCGAACAAGCGATAGTTATAAGGCATGTAGGCCAATCATCGACCGACGGCGCAAGACTAGAGGTGACTGAGCAGGGCTCTGTACGCCGGCGCCAGGTCTATAAATCGATTGACCGAGTTCTCATCCGAGGCCCAGGCTTCAATCAATTCTCGGCCTGTTTTTTTTCGGTGGGCGACTATTTTGGTGGCTGCGAAGTTAAACTCGTGACTCATTTCGTAGGTGTGGGCGGCCACTTGTGATAATGCGTCGCTTCCTCGCACAGCCGGCTTATGTTCGTGTATGCGCTATCCGAGCATGCGCCCAGTCTGCCCTGTGTAGTTACAAGGGCAATTTTGACACGGAATGCGATACAATACTGCAGATTGCTCTTTAGGCTTTAACCGGTCTTTGATTTTCATGGCCCTATTGCGCGTGGTGGCTTTGGGGCGGTGTGCAATTCCAACACCTAACTCCACAGCAATGCGCTCGGTCGCTTCTGAAACGCCTTGATGTCTGGCAGAGAATGCCATATCGTCGGTGGCGTTGATGTTCGAGTTCTCTGGTGACGACCGCAAAGGCGGCGACTTATGAATGTCCTCGGATAGCCATTTTGCACAAACTGGTCGCGTAGATAACGGGCCTCACGTGCTCTGTCCTCCGGTCTGCTGCAATGAGTTTGGATCCGTTTGAAGAGTCTTCACACAGCTTCGTTTGTGAGCCACCGGATTGTTGCTGTTAAAACTGAGAAGCTGTGTGGTGTTCGTAGCCTTCCTATAAACCGTCGTTTCAAGTTCACCGTTAAGGTTTCATCTGACAAGCACATCCAGGAAGGCTAATTGCTGTTCCCGTTCTTCTTCCCTCGTGATTTTTATGTCAGGGAAGACTGCGTTGAGCAGGCTGTGGAAATGTTGCAGCATGTCCTTCTTTACGATTACGAACGTGTCGTCTACGTGACGGCGCCAAAACACCAGTTCATGTTGGACGACGACAATCTTTTCTAACTCCTGTAGGGCTCCTGTATGAGTCTGAAAGCTCAGGACAATAAACAAAGTGTTCCGGTGCTCGACTCTTTTTCTTCATTTGCGCTTAAATCAGTCATGGTATACTATGAGACATGACTGAACATGACGAGAAGCACACTCTGTATCCTCCTTCGCAGGGTCGAAACCAGCAGGTCAAGTCCCGATTAGCATAAGATCGGATATGACACCAGGGGCGACTTATTGTGTGCGGAAAGTTGAGCTGCTGTCTCGGATTGCAGATATTCAGTTCGATGTCGCATTAGCTAAGAGAGTTTTTGTGCTTGAATGGGACAAGCGCGCATGTGTGGGACCTGAAGTCAATCGCGTCTGGGATAATATGAAGTGACTTTGTAGTAAGAAGCATTCTTGGCAAAACTGTGCGACCCGAGTTGTCTAGATCACGAAACAAAGGTGGGTGTTGCTGCTATGATAGCTGACTACCTCTACTCCTCATCCGATTCTACCCGAAACGGTTGCTGGGATGCGGTGTGTAGGTCACGAACGGATACCTATACGGAGTCAGAAATAAAGGCTGAGCATCAGACGAGATTAGATTTCAGTTACCAACTCGTGCATGTAAGCATTTGGTGACGGTCAATCCATCAAATTGGCTGCGTCTTCTCGATGTGCATTGTACAGAATGGACCAATGGGCACCAGGGAGCCCGCAAAACGTAAAAACGACACGCCTCAAAGCAACCATGCGCAATGTGGTCATGAAAATCAAGACCGATTAAAGCCTGAAGAGCAATCCGCAGTAGTGTATTGCATCCCGTGTCAAAATTGTCCTTGTAACTACATAGGACAGAGTGGGCGCATGCTCGGATCGCGCATACACGAACATAAGCTGGCTGTGCGACGAGGCGGCGCATTATCACAAGTGGCCGCCCACACCTACGAAATGAGTCACGAGTTTGACTTTGCAGCCACCAAAATAGTCGACCACGCCGGAAACAAAACAGGCCGAGGACTGAGACCTGGACCTCGGATGAGAACTCGGTCAATCGATCTATCGATCTGGCGCCGGCGTACAGAGTCCTGCGTAATCACCTCCAGTCTTGCGCCGTCGGTCGATGATTGGCCTACATGCCTTATAACTATCGTTTGTTCTGGTGCTGCTACTACCTCTGACGATGGACTCCTGCACGAGTCAGAAAGCTCAGGACAATAAACAAAGTGTTCCGGTGCTCGACTCTTCTTCTTCACACGACCGTTCCGCCAGTTCCAGAGGTATGCAGTTTTTTGCGCGGGAGAATAGAGAAGTCGCGGCGGAGCAAGTCACTACGAGTTCACTAAGGGTAAGTTGGTGGTTATTCAGAGCGGAGAATGGTAGTAAAAGGTTCATTTCGGCACAAATGTCAACTAGAGCCGAAATTCGCAGAGGTGGACGCAAAAACAGTCATCGCGTGCCCAAGAAATCAGAAAGGTAGGATTCGAAGGAAATGTCTCGATCTTAGAAAGCCTATGTACAGAAATCAGTACTTGATCCACAAGGTAATTTGACGGTCCGGCAGTTCATTTGGGTGAGTCCGCGGAGGCGGTCTCCTCCAGGCTCTTCTGAAGCGCTCCCGGAAGTTTTTCCACACGGTGCTGAAAAGCAAAGAAACCCCAATAAGGTCTGTGGTAATACAGTTCTCCTGAAAGCGTAAACACTTTTTTTTGCGGGTGTGGTTTTGCCACCGAAACAAAATGGACGACGCCACTGATGGTGGACATGGGGCTAACTGTGACCAAGAGAGACCGTTGGCGCGTCATTTATATGCAATACCAACAAGGAAAAAGGGGGACTCGCAGGGCCGTTCGTGATGCATTTCTATCTTCCGCCGGCCATATTTCAAATCGTGTTTAGTTAACAACAAAGTTTAAGTTCAAGCAAGCGATCCACAAGCTAACGGTTTGTCGACCGCTATCGACAATTGGCAAAATCAAATGGGAGTGACGAAGCCCGAACCGCCCTGATCACGGAATTCTCGAGTTACCCCAACCGGGGCTTGGAGTATGGCTAGCTGATGATGACGGGTAGATGCGAAAGGCCCGTCCTTGTTTCCCTCCTCCCCTATCTCGACCATTAGCTGCTCGCGACTAGGCGACAGCCAGCCAGGGCTCTAGACAGGTGTTCTGAGGCGATGTGAAACTGCCTTACTGCGCCCTGCAATCAAGACTGAGAAGTGTATATTACCCTCGAAACAAGGCTTTTGGGGTGGAGGAACGGCGAGCGCCCGGGAAAATATCCATATAACATACAAGTGACAAGCGCGGGCAAGTGGAACGGTGTCTCTGGTGCGCGTAACTCTTGATGTTAAGCCGCTAGCTTCTTCACATTTTGCCTCTTGATCACTTATGGCCATCACCACGGGAGAGCCTGCAATTTTTGCCTAGGCCGAACGCTAGAGGGAACTCCAAAGATCGCCGGAACACGTGTATACTACCTATTCTGCCAGTAGAACAGACAGACATTCGGTGGCGTATCTCAAAAAACGCACGTCTGAATTCTGAAATTTGCTTTTTAGTGAAAAGGATTTAGGTGCGGTTGTAACATTGAGCATCACGTTTCTAACGCGCGCAGATGCCGGCATTTGAATGCACTTCTTTGCGGTTGCCCCCAAAAACCACACGGCATAAAATAGCTAGACACGGAAATAGACACCCTCCCTACTGCGGGGTCCTCGCGCTTATCTCCAGGAAGATCAGAGTTAGGTTCAGGGTTGGAGATTAGGTAGGAGTGAGAATTAGATTGGGGGTTAAGGTTAGGACACGGGAATATTTGGGTTTCCTGGAATTCTGCGCAACGTCACCTGTACTACCTATTCTCTTGTACTTTAATTTTTCCTCTGATTTTCTGGTTTTCGGAATATATTTTACAGAAAACACGCAAAAATATACCTCCACATACTCATTTTGCAGTAAATTACGTTCTTTTTCCAATTTTATACTTGAAGACAGGGAGGTTTTCGATTTAAAAAAAGTTTGCCGTTATGCAACTTGTACGACCGTGAAATGTTTGTTCAAATGATGTTGTATCTGTCCACTTATCAATGCTTGGGACGAGATGGTTCGTAAAAACCTCATCAATTCATATGGTCCCCACTTAATAGCATGTAGGAATGAGTGATTCCTCCCAAGTGAAAACTGTACAGTCTGTAGTTAGGACAGCCTACGTGCAGGTGGAAAGTAGGTCGGCAGCAAACTTATTCGGCAAGCGAGAATCTAGTAAAACTGGAAGATATATCTTCTATGAATAGCATAATTGGTGGAGATGTAGGTGTCAGCAAAATAAGTGCAACAAAATGTACTTCTGTGCATAGAAGAGCGGTGAGAAGTTTCTGTGAATGATTTTCACAGACAGCCGGAACGAGGCGCATTCAAAGTCCGCAATTTGGCATGGCTGAAATGTCTTGTGACTTTATTGCATGGTAATTACCATCAAAGCAAATATTTAAATAATTCTTTCTAACCGAAACTATATTTTGAAATCTTGGTTAACGTTCCTTGAGATATATCACCTACTAAAAGTAATATTTTGAAAGGCAACACTGGTTTGGCCGACCAAAGACTTCGGTTCAGACGTTTTTTCGACGCTGCTGATGCTTGATCAATATGAATCAATCACTTTGCTGATCCCGAATTTAGTGTGCATTTTCACAGGCGGAGGACACTGCCATGTGTTAAGGTTCCTGCATCGCTAGCTATCTTTCAGGGTTTTTGTATGCTCGGAAGCTGGTGTCTCTGTCCTACTAAAACACTCGATGCCTTCTAGAGGCTGCTTCTGTAGCAAGAATCCAGGGAATTGCCGGCCGTTAGGGTGCAAATAGCCGTTTTCCGAAGGAATTTATTCATATTCATAATTTTAAAAAAATTTTGAAATCAAAAGACGTCCCTTCTTCAAGTGGATAATTTTGAGATGGCGTAATTTTCTACACAATGGGTACATGAACAGATAATTTGTGCACAATTTTCACAACATGTGTTTGGGTTTATGAGGGTATCAAAAACCAATGGAAGAAGACACGGTACTCATGTGGTCATTTTTATTGAGTTTAGCTCTTACGGGTGGCCGAAGACAAAGTCGGCATCCTCAGCACTACAACCCTACCTGAGCGATCCTTCCTAGTCGAATATACAATTCAGAATTTCGGCTAACACTTAATGAGGCATGTTATATAGCTGGGGATAATCCCAGTCGGGAACCCAGCATTGGGGAGTTTGTTCTCCGCTTGTCTACTTTGCGACTACAGTAAGGAAACACATTTAAAGATGTCGGTCAGTGAGACACGACGCATCCTGCGTATAATAAGGACACTTCATTCGGCTCGTCGATGGAGTCGAATAAAATCTGCTTTGTTTCAAATTCCCGATCGAGGGCGCTGAACATAATCAGCGCCCCTGACAGACTTCCCTATTCCCATATTCTGAATGCTTTCACAAAGCCCTAGACTGGTGACCATGACAAGCTGACTCCTGAAAAGGAAAGAGGGCGAAGAAGTTAAAAGACTTACGTGGGTGACGGCCATGTGAACGCCAGCTGGGAGATTTCGTTGAATGTACTCAAGGAAGACACTAGCAGTACATCCAGTCACATGCGGTATCTACAGAGCGGTGTGCTTTAGACTGGAAACAGAGGCGGGACTCACTATGAAATTTTTCACATACGTCCGAAACTCGTACTGACGTTGATGTTTTTTATAGATAAAAGGAGACTTGTTAAGGGACAGGCGGTCAAATATGGGCGAATTTCTAGTCTCGCTAAAAAGAAAGAGCGGAGGACTCGAAAGTAAGACGAAATCCTTACACGCTGCAGGTCAGATCCAGATGACTGCAAACCTGCCGGACAAAGATCTCGTAGCTGCGTAACACCTCTGGCTCATGGCTTTTCACCTCTATGTTAAGTTTCTTAAATAGAATATCGGGTTCCTCAAGTTCCTGTCCCTAGAAGAGCGAATTTGGAAATGGAAACAAGCAACCTTACATCGATTTTCGTGTTTGACGAGAGACTACGGCATGGAATAGCTGATGAGGAAAAAGGGATGGCGGCCAGATTCGTTGCCAACTGGTTCAGTGAAATAGCAGCCAATCTGAGTGTGGTCGCTAAGGCTGACTGCATGACTAAATAGAAAAGAGGACACGATAACATTCAACACAAAACAAAACTCTCGGCTGTAGTGGTGTTTGTTAGGGACAGCGTTGCATGTTGTGCGGTTCGTTGGCTTGACGATCTAGAAACGCCTTAAAGAAGGACTCAAGCCCACTAGACCGTGGGGAAACAGTTACAATCATAGCCTACTGGGTAGCCTCATTGTGGTTACAAGGCTCATTTAGCCGCGTAACGCGAGGTGTTTGGAGTGGTGTCTACTGGCTTATAAGATAAGAGCTGAGAGAACTATGAAAATGCAATTTTAGGAACACTCGTGCGCCTAGAGTGGACAACTTTCCCAAACAGAACCGGATTTAACTAGTCGGCTGACGTGAGGGCCTATACGGGGCTCAGGTGCTTTGTCTGTACCTCAAACAGTCATACGTTACTGGGGAGTACTGACGTTCTTCGGAACAGAAACATTATTCTGAGGTCAGAGTCGAATTGCTGCTTGAAAGTGACAACGATGGAATGAGTAGCGGTGGGGGAGATAAGCATGATAAGCAAAGACTCGCGTCATGTTCTAAGCATACCTCTCAATCACCCAGTAATGTAAGTCTGACTTCGTATAAAATATTTCGACATGAGAGAAAGGACAAGTCGGTACCACTGCGCACGGTGTGATACCTTATCTTATCAAGCGGTTACAGCGTGTGTAGAGTACGACCTGTGTAGAGGCCTGATCTGGGCGGCCTTGATGATTTTGCGAGCTGTACCTGTCCAGCCTCGACGATCTGCGAAAGGTGATCTGAAGAGCCTTGCCTACTACCATCTCTGGCGACGGGAACCGAATACCGAAGGTCCATGAACCAACTTAATCTCGTGATAGTATTTTCTGTGTCACACTTGGTGATGACCTTTTTCGAGGCTCCACACAGGCAGTAAGCCAAGTCAAAAGCAACACACACCTCACGGGGCAGGATATGACGAACATGCCAAAATTACTTTGATCGTTTTTGTCTGGTGGCCTGAGATATTCTTGCGATTACGGAGCGTGGAGGGTATTTCATTCGAGAAAAGGACGTGTACTTCTCTTAGTGTCGGCCCAGACAACGGTAATCAAACACCGTATTTGTCTTCGTGTTCCACGTGCACATATCAGCATTGACAACAGCGTACGGAGGCCGACACACACGGACTTTGTAGTGGCGGAAATATCATGACTGGCCCATACACGATTTCTTGGGTTTGCGAAAATGTATTAGCGATCAGCGCAATAATTGGCCTGAACTAGTCATTGGACCTTCGGTCCTCGCCAGAAAGGAAGATAGTAGATTAAACTCCCCAGGAGCATTGCCGCAGACCGTTACACACGGACACCATTACTGTAGTTGGTGATGCCGATAGGAACGGCGTGCGCATGCCCGCATCTAAGTATGTAGTCGGCAGTTTGTTCGGCTAGAGCACTAGTCTCACTTCGGTGAGTAGGCCAGAAACACTGAGAAACGTGAAGTCTACCAGTGGAGTCGTTTTTATTGCCGACAATTTGTGCAAGTCCCTTGTCCGGCTTTTCCTTAAACTCTTCCAAGCATCTTTTGATTTGCCGTCATTTTGGATTGATCGGCTACACCCTCAAGCGGGGGTCATAAAGTAAAAGATCGTTAGTTGCCGAAACACTGAGACTAAAGTCTAAATCCACCAAAGCGATCTAATCGCTAATGCTACCGTCACGGTCTGATGCGTTTAAGGCTGCAGGTCCCGACTTCTAGTAAAACAGATCTCCTCAAAGAATCAGGAAATCTTGTGCTAACGGCCAGATAACAAAGCTAAAGCATCATAAAGATCTGATCTCGGGCTGAGGGAGAGCGCAAAGCGAAGGGATGAAAGTGATCGATTCTAGTGAAGTTTGCAGTTTAAAACTGTTTAACAACGTCATAACAGACGTAGTAAGAACTAAAAAAGTCCGCTAAATATGAATCAACTAAAGGATCTGCAGGTGAGGCAGACTGGATCTTCGAAAGAGGGGTGATAGTTTATTAATCATAGCGGAACGAAAACGGGCAACGGTTGGAGAAAATATGCGCCGGTTGAAAAACGGTCGTGTCAAGTAAGAAAACAAAGAGACGTGGAAACTAACCATTTAAGTCAAACGATATGCCAAACAGAAGGATATAAAAATTCGCGGAAGTCGAGATTAACAGGTCAAAGAGGAACTTATCAGGATGATCACAACGTAATAGTGCCAAATCATGACGACTGTCCATGTTTACCATACATAAAATAGGTAAAACAGGAGAAAAACATCGTGTCAAGCAGAAAAATTCCAACTGGAAAGCCTATAATCGAAATGACAGATCAAATCCACCACTCAAAAGAAGCCTCTGATAGAAGTGCGGCTAGCAGGACTTGCTTTGCAGTAATAGTAAACATTTCCACAAGCTAATGACTCCATTGCGAATGAACATTGCGCTGATGACTTGCTGGTTAGGCAACACAATTTATTACTAAATGGATTCCCTCCTTTGACTGTAGGTAATTATACCTACAGGTGATCAACGTTGCTGTTACTTTGATGACATCCTAGGACATCACGGAATAGACCTTGATGAGATTCGCGGTCCTCGGGTGTACGACGCACATCGGTTTGAAGTGTCATGGAATGTACTATAGTACCGGTCAACTATAGTTGACCGGTAGTTCTACCTGTGCATTCACGACTTATGGTCGATAGCAATAACTAAAGCAGTTAAAATAAGCCGAAAGCGACGAACGAATAAAAATTGCATAAACCCCCCCCCCGTAATGCTCTCAAAAAGATATTTATCTCCTGAAAGAAACCTACAAAAGAACGGCAAGGTTTACAATAGGAGGAGGGCGCTCGCCGCGCTACGAAACTCACTCGCCCCGGGCCGCAGTTTATGATAAACATTTATCATAAACTCAGGAACGTTTAGATAGAAAAAAAAACAAGGAATGGTAGGCTGGTCCGTGAGAATGCTATGCTACGGCTAAACTGCGAGGTGGGTTTGTCGAAACCAAATGTTCCCTACAGGGAACACAATCTTATAAGACTAAATGGGATTGAGGTTTCCATATGAAGGCCTGTGTGAAGTTGCACCAGAAACTCGGTAGGCGAATAAAAAAACCCGGAATGCCACACAGGCAACAAAGATAAAATATACTAGGAATAGACCGAAAAGAGTAGGAAGCTGGCCCCCTCTGCCGATGTCTCCACTTCGACCCCCCACAGGGACGGGCAGGGGATACTCTAAACCTGCAATTATATTTCAACTCAGTCAAACCACAGACTGGCATCCCAAAAGACTTAACTAATGAAGCAGAAATAAACCATTCTTAGCAGCGTTGTACATAAAAAAGCAATAATAATTACACATCTGCAACAAAAAGCTCAAAATATTGACCGAAGAACAATGACAACTTCAAAGTTTCATCAGGGACACTTAGTGGATGAACAAGTCCTTAAAATAACACTTTTACTTTAGCAGTCAGGCAGTGTGATTCGCGCTCGAATATTCCTAGCCAAAAAGAACCCCAGAGAGTTTGTTGTTTGATAGGTGCGTTGCGCTCCCGTGACTAAGTGTGCGAATGGATGCCTGCGCTCTGATAGACCAATCGATCGGGCGGTATACTGGCTTGTGTGCGTGCACTCCTGCACGCCTCTTCCTGCTCCGTCAGGCCATCCTGTGAATGATTTATCTGTCTGATGTTTTTTTCACTGTCCCCCAATTCAGCTACTGTCTGTCTTTTTTATAGAATACGTATGCGTATATGCGGTCGAGCCTATTGACCTCGCTTAGACCGTGAAGTCAATGGAATTTTGAGAAAAGTTAACAAAGATATGGGCAATGGGTACCTGTCAAAAAGGTTGTCGGTCTAATCAGACAGCTCGGCTTCTGATACTGATTCACCTTACAATGACACGAGTTCGGCGGCGTTGGAATTACACAACGCATTCGGTCATGTAGACTATCTCTTTACGCAAGCATTAGAAGGGGGCTGGCTTTATGTCAATGGATGAGCACGTGGGCAATAGGCACGGAAGCATCGCATATGCACCTTAACACCCTACTGAAAAAAAATCAGGCCACTCTTGCTAAACCTGCCATCCGACGCGCGAACATTGTTGGGTGGGACAAAGAGTTGTAGTGCACCCGTTTCGGTAACGGCAATGGGTAATGGGGAATACGTTAATTTAGGGTTGGTAAGACAGCTGGATTTTCAGTTATCTGTCCTTTTCGTGGATAGCTAACTCCTCAAGTTCCATCAGCATGGTATAGTAGCAAGCCAAATCAGCCAACCTTTCAATCATGTTAGCACCTAATGATTGCATAATTAACTACTTAGGTCCACAAAGGCTCCCAACTGAAGCTCCATTTAAGTGCAGTTTCTCCGTCGTCAACCCACCTCCCAACTGAGATCCAACCCATTCACCTAAATCCCACCGAACGCACCAACATCTTTTCATTAATCACTCAACTCCCTCCTTTTGGCTCACCACAGTCTGTTTCCGCCGACGTCCTAAACATCGTTTTACCAATGCAAAGTCGACAGTCCTTAAAATGTCTCGACTCAGTACTTTTGTTTGAGTCGATAACTTTGATATCATTTGCATTACAGATACACGGACAAATTTCCAAATATCCCGTGCAATACTGTATGTCGTTAATTATAATTTGCATCAACAGTATCGATTATGTAAGCAGGGCGGAGGATGTTTGGTGTGAATGAAAGTATCCTTGAAAAAAGCGGTCTTTGTCTTTGAAATCAACTTTTCACCGAGGATGAGTGCTTTGCTGAAATACAATTTCAGGGTCACGAAAGCCACGTTAAACGGATTTCTCTAGCCCCCCCCCCGCCCAGAATGTAGTAACGATGATACAGGCCCTAACCATTTAACAAACGATGTATCAAGAAAGGCCTATAACTAATTGCGGTTGACTTCAGTCATCACGACATAAACTGGACTGGACTGTTAACTCTGCTAAGCACAAATAATTATTATTTTCACTCGTCCACCTCGAATGACCTGAGGAAATAATACCCGAAATTATCCTCACCGGTGACACTTGTCTTATGTGTACGCATTATGGCAGTGCAACCCCTGAAAGTATTTGCAAAGCAGTAATAGCTACGTTCCCGTTAAGAAAAAAGCTAGCATATGATTGTAGCACCACCCATATGAGCCCTAAAAATTTCGAAAAAGACTCCACGCAGGTCTGTAGCAGGTCATCTAATTGGAGTTCATGCCTTTCGACACAATTCTCCACAGCAGCTGTCAGTCTTGCATACTCCGCCCTACTTACTATTCGACCTGCCCTCATGGACGAGAAGCCGCATTTTAAGTAGTCGAATCCTAAAAATTCCTTTCTGATAAGAATTAAGAATTTAAAAAATACTCCATGACCCCTCTGTCAATTTTTTATTTACACCCTGAGCAATTAACGGAATTAGTGGCCAAGTTATTAAGACGGAAACGAGAAGAATATAGTTGATGAACACTGTTCATTAGAGCCTCCTGAACATGCAGTTAAAATCTTTTACGGGCGAATAATAAATATGGCAAAATAGGACTCCAAATAATGAGCGCCAGCTCGGGACAAGTAATAACAGACGACCGTCAATTAGCAAATCTACAGTCGAAAAAGAGGCAATCCCAAGACTGACCGAACTATCAGGATGTATCCTTAGTTGGATCTGTCTCGGCGAAGAAACTGTTAACATACCTATAACACGTCCCTTAGTCCACCTCTTAAGATAGATAAAAATTTTCCACGTACGCTAAAAAATAATATATATGTCCCAATACCTCTCTCTACACTATTTTCACTACTCAGTTGAATGCTGTTTTGTCAGAAATTTGAAAATACTCGAGCACTGCACCGAACTTCCAAAGTGGTCACTGATCTGATTGCCAAAGCCACCGTGCTGTTCACAGTGCAGCCGGAAACTTCAAAATCCCTGAAAAAATTCTCAATCAAATGGTGGATTATTTGAGAAATGCTAACCTCATACCCCTTTCTAATGCGCATTTCTGAGTAAAACATCAAACTAGTTACACCATATTCCTTTCCTGAAATTAATTTCTAACAATTGATCTTTCAGAAATATAGCCTTAACGATATCTTTCGATCTTAAGAACGCCACCAATAAAGTCCTCCCATAAAGGACTACTCATCAGGATAATAAGTCGCAGGATTAGCCGCCTTCTTACGTCTCCTAAATCCTACCTCAAAAATCGATATTATATAGTTCAGATTTGAAACGTGGTCTCAGAAGCATTTTCTACTCTTAGTAGAATATTTCAAGGCACTATATTGGGTCTCCTCAATTTGTCATATGCATTCACGGTTTACCGCTCATATTAACCCCAGCTATAACGTCTTCACATGCGGGCGACCTAAAACTCGTATATGCATATGGCGAAAATTCGATGACCAATATGCATTATTCAATCGAGAAAGATCTTAGAAAGATAAGTGAATGGAGTAATCTGTGGTAAATATCATTCTCATCGATTTTGGTTCACTGAAATTCACCCGAATTTTTGGTAAGTACAAAATAAAAGAAACGCTATCAACAAACGACCAACATAGGTTTGAATTATGCAAATACACTTGACTTATTACCCCCAAAATAGAACGAATTTTTCTGAAAGTTCCTTGCTTATGCGGATGCATGTGGAAATAAGTGGACCCCAGATGCACCAAAACGAAAGTTTATATGACGTATATTGCAACACCTAGATTACTATTGAATTTTCTTTGGAGTAGCGTCATCAAATGGCTGAAAGCAACAAGATGTCCTTCAAAGACGCTTTACTAGATCTTTGGCCAGATTTGGCAGTCATAAGCCCCTCTGGATCAGGGAGCTCAAAAATGACCTCAGTTATAAATTAAAAGTCTCTTACGGCCAGGATATACTCAAAATGAATATTTCAGGAAATCACCACTGCCCCGGATCACCAGAAATGACGAATATATAATGAGAAGCCACTATCAAAATTCCAGGTGCTTAGCCTAAGCAAACCAACCCCATGGGGTACGGCCTGGTTTGCTTACGTAGAGCAAGCTTTGGACGCTTATGATGACAAAACCCCTCTGGAAATGAAGAGTATACACGGAGTTGGGTGAAAGCGTCAAGGACTTTCTGAAATCGAGCATACACGGAGACCTGTGGGGTCAAGGTATAGACGATCGAAAGACCGGGAAGAAACTCGGCAAACAGTTATGCAACACTTACAGTT